CCTTATCCTTAACTCAATCACTCAAGACAGAATTAATCTTGTTTCTAAATAATCATTTTTTGTTTTGATCTGAAATATTAAAATCTGACCTCTCATTAAAGCATTTATTGATTTATTATGAACATGTACACATACTACATGGCAGACCATGTATTATGTTAAGACAAGTATTAACTCATTTTAATTTTACCAACATCAGAGCAATTGCTCACTTGAAAGCTACTCCAGTAAAATGGTGAGAAAATAAGAACAGAGAGAATAGGCAGGAAACAGATGATTTTCGAGAAATTTTGTTCTAAAGTGGAGAATAGAAAAGGGATAAAGGGAAGAATATAAGTGGGAAGAAGTGGATGTGACTCATAGGAAGTTGTCTTTTTTGAAAGTTACATTCATTTATATGTGTGTCCATGCATGCATATGTGCGTGTGGAAGTTGAAGGACAACTTGCAGTAATAAGTTCTTTCCTTCCACCACCACCACATGGGTGTTGAAGACTGATCTTAGGTTGTCAGCCTTGGCAGCAAGTACCTTTGCCTTTGGAGCCACCTCCCTACCCATGCTTTGTCATTAAGATTTAGGAGTCTCTGTATCATGTTGGTGTGTGCTTTGGAAAGCACCAGCAGAGAAGAAACAAAAACTGGGCAGAACTAAGATCTTGCTTCTCTGCTGGAGCACTTCCTTGAGGTGGCATGGAGGCAGAATGAGGCATATTTACACAATGGAGTATTACTCAGCTATTAAAAACAATGAATTTGAGAGTTTCCTAGGTAAATGGATAGAACTAGAAATTATCATCCTGAGTGAAGTAAGCCAATCACAAAAGAACACACATGGTATTCACTCACTGATTATTGGATATTAGCCCAGAACCTTGAAATGCCCAAGATGCAACTCACAGGCCACATGAAGCTCATAAAGAAGGAAGACCAAGTGGGGGTGATTTGGTCCTTCTTAGAAGGAGCAACAAAATACTCAAGGGAGCAAATATGGAGACAAAGTGTGGGACAGAAACTGAAGGAGGGGCCGTCTGAAGACCTTTCCACCTGAGTATCCATCCCATGTGCAGTCACCAAAGGTAGATGCAGATGTGGAAGTCAGGAAGTGCATGCTGATAAGAGCCTAATATGGATGTCTCCTCAGAGGTCTTAAAGAGTCTAACATATTCAGAGGCAGATGCTCACAACTAGCCATTGAACTGATAATGGGGTTGCCAATGGAGGAGTAAGAGTGAAGGTCAGTGGAGCTGAAAGGGTCTGTGGCCCCATGAGAAGAGCAACAATACCAACCAACCACAGCTCCCAGAGTCTAAACCACCAGCCTGGGAGCACTTAGGGAGGGATCCAGGGCTTCAGCTGAATAATAAGAGTGGAGGGCCCTGCTGGGCATAGGTGGAAGAAGAGATCCTTGACCTCATGAAGGCTGGACGCCCCAGGGGGTGGGAATTTTGAGAGTGGAGGTGGGAGTGGGGGGGTAGGTAGGGGTTACATCCACAGAGAAGGAGGAGGGGTGAGGGGATAGGGGGTTCCTGGGTGGGTGGCGGATGGGGTAAGGGGACAACATGTGAAATGTAAATAAAACATCCAATAAAAAAAAAAAAAGAAAAAAAACAGAGAGAAAAAAAAAAGAAGCACCTTCTCAACAAGGCATTTCTCGTGTCAGAGAAAACCCTGATCCCTTTCCCCACTCTTCTCCACTATCCCCTCTGCTCTCCATTCCTGGGTACTTCTCAGTAGCTACTGGGCCATTATAGGTAGCATACACTCTGATTTAGGGTCTCCTTTACTCAGATGTGAGAGCTTCAGGAAATCAGGAACTTTTGTCTATTTTTGTTTGATGTTGACTATTGAAATACTATTGAAGACTTTGTGGGACAAAGTCTTCTGGACACACAAAGTGACTGGTTATAGAGGACAGCTCACCCACAAGGGTGGGCACAGTACAGACTGCAGATATCAGATGTTGACAGCTGTGACAAGACAGCTGTACTCATTTCTGGATTCTATTAGACAGGTTCAGAATGCTGGACTAGGAGTTTGAGACATTGCTTCACCATCTTCTCATTTCCAGAGCTGTAAAATCTTAGGCATCATTGATCTTTTTAAAAGACTTATTTATTTAATGTCTATGAGTACACTGTAGCTGTCTTCAGACACACCAGAAGAGGGCATCAGATCCCATTACAAACAGTTGTGAGTCATCGTGGTTGCTAGAAATTGAACTCAGGACCTCTGGAAGAATAGTCTCCAGTTCCACATCATTGATTCTTTAACCTTTGTACAGAGGAACTACTTTGTCTCTATCCCTTGGGCGTGGTATCTTACTTTTTGATAAAAGTTCTTGAAATAAAACCACATATAAAATTAAGTACATCATACAAGTAAATTTTAAATAAAAAACCTTAAGCCACCAAAACCTGCCACCTAACGCAAGAGATTAACAATCTAATAGTGACAAGACCCAGTGTGGCCTGCTGTCACTCTTGTACCCAAAGTACTATTGGAAGTCAGTCTTAGCCATTGGTTTATCTACTGTAAATGAGAAGGTCAGAGTCCAGTTGCAAAGAAGGCTACATGGCGTCCCACACAGTATTCAGTACTTGGTGTTCTGAGAAGAGACTGATAGACTCTAATCCAGCTGAAGACTGAAAACAGGCTAGGGTACACCTCACTGATGGAGGGCTTTTTCAGTATGTTGGGTTTGTTCATATTTAAACATTAATTCATTTGAAATTTGCTTGAGTAAAACAGACACTCTTCTTTTCCTCCCACAGGTGGACAGCTACTGCTGAAATGTCTGCCTGGTTTTGACAAACAGTTCAGTGCCTCCTTTGTTATTTATAGAGCCCTTGTGGTCTGCTCCTTGGCCTCTATTCTGTGCCATTAATCTGCCTACATTCTCAGTGTAACCCCTAACACAGCAGACTAGTGAATACAGTTTTACAGAAAGTCTTACTAAAGCAAGCTAAAGCTATCACAATCCATTCATCTTCTTCAAGTATGATTTTGGCTCTTTCTTTTGGCTTTCCCAAATTAATTTTAGAATCACCCTGTGATTCTAGGTTTGAAAAAAAATCTTGTCTCAAAAAAAAAAAGGGCGGGGGTGGGGGGAGGACCTGGAGAGATGACTCAGTGGTTAAGAGCACTGACTGTACTTCCAGAAATCCTGAGTTCAATTTCCACCAACTACATGGTGGCTCACAACCATCTGTAATAGGATCCGATGTATTCTTCTGGTATGTGTCTGAAGACAGCTACAGTGTACTCATATAAATACAAATAAATAAATCTTTAAAAACAAAAGGAGGAGGAGGAGCAGGAGCAGCAAGAGCAGCAGGAGCAGCAGGAGCAGGAGCAGCAGCAGCAGCAGCAGCAGCAGCACAGAGCTTGAGAAAGAGTCACAAGGATACTCTCTGGCCTCTAAACATAGGTTTATATGAACACACAAATGCTAACAAGGTGAGTAAGTAGGTAAATGTAATAAAGCAGTTTCACTAAATTACTACCAGTGACTAGATGAAATCATATCAGTATTTACTATAAAGTGATTTTAACCTTCTGGAACCTTTGAGAAGTTTCATAAGATATTAACCATACTTATCAGGTGAAAAAATTAAAATGTAAATAAGAAAAATTATGTTAAACATACAACAAAAGTTATTATTAATACAATACATGAACTCACTCTAACTTAGGGGAAAAAAAAAACCAGTCTGGGCATGGTGGCTCACATTTGAATCCCAGGCTGAAGTTGAATTGCCAGCCATGAGTTTGGGGCCAGTTTGGGCTATATAGTGAGATTAGGGCATGTGTGGATTATAAAGAAAAACCCTATTTCAAACAGATAGAAGCAGGGATTGAGAGATAGCTCAGTGGGTAAAGCATCTGCCATGTTAAGTGTGAGGATTAGAGTTCATATTGCCTGATCTCACATAAAAAAGCTGGATGCGGGCTGGCTTGCTAGTCGTCTCAGTAGGCAGGAAGATGAAACAAAGAATCCCTGGCTAAACAAGATCTCTGAAACTTCAAGTGCCAGGTTCAATGAGAGATCTGGTCTCAAAATATAAAGTAGAGAAAGCCACCTTTATCCTTTGGTGTCTACATGCACATAAATGCATGGCCAATAACATATACACATTTACTTCCAAACATGCAAATTACACACACACACAAACACACAAACACACACACACACACCCCACGTACCACACACACAATTTCTTCAAAAAACATCAAGCCCCTTCTAAGATAAATGGGAAAAGATATTAACAGAATACAAGAGGAAATAAACTAATGGAAAATAGTTACCTCTAACCAAAGATATTAAAGTTAAAACTTAATATATCATTTTATACCTATTTTTATTGCAAAATTAAAAGGTAGCACAAGCACACAGACAGCACATACAAAGACACAGACAATTCTAGCAAAGGTTGTAGTGAAAGTGGTTCACTTGTATACAGATGACAATATTCACTGTTCACAGGCCCTGCCTCCTGGGGAAACAATCTGACAGCCCCCAATTCTTGGTGCTTATCAAAGCCTTTGACCAGCAGTCCCACTGTTAACATATTTATTATTTACAAAGTCCCCATATACATGTGGGCTGTTTCAATAACAGGGAGCTCAAAGATGTTTGCTGCAGTATCATCTACCAGAAGATTTATCTATTAACAACTTAAATGGCCACCAAGAGAAGAAGACTTTAGTAAATCTTAACTATATTACTACAATGGAATATAGAGCTAGCATTTTAAAGAAATGACAAAAATAAGCTTATATGGAGATAAGCACAAAACTATTTATAATTGATCATGAGACTGTAAGAATAAATGAAATGGGCTTTGACACTGTAAAGGGACATGAATAATTAATGATGATGATGTATTACCATATGAGGGGAATGTGGCTGATTCATTTTCCTAAAATTTTCTTTAATCTTGCCGATATATCCTTCAATTAAAATTAGATGACTGCAAAGCCGTCTCGAGACGGTCTACTCACGGTACTGAGCTTGCTGCAGATGATGAGGATCCGGCGTTCATACAGCATGCTGGCGTACAGGTGCAACATGTTGTTCACATCCACAGCCACAAAATATTCTGTCAGATTTCTCTAGGAAAAAGAAGAAAGCAAGGCTTGTGGTTTATTTTGTTTGTTCTTATTACGAATAGTATCTCATAAAAGCAGGAGAAAGCAAATAATCAGAAGGCATGTGCTCTTCTTCCTGTCCCACTCTTTCTACCTGAAAGCTCCAGCTCCACTCATGTATGAAATGCAAAGTTCAAAGAGGCCTTGGAGATGAGCAGCCCAAGCAACTGCATCTTTGTGTGGTGATTATGGGTTACAACTTGAGGTCGTCGTACATAGCACTGTGTTTGCTTTTCATGTCATTCCAAAGGATGAGAAGCACAGGAACTCTACAATCTCAAAAACGATGAGACCAAGGCTGAGGGAGATTCTCTGAGATCAAATGGTCTAATAAGCAATGAAGACAGGACTCTGCTCTCATCTTTGGACCCTAGGTCCTAGAACTTTTTCTAACATGCATCCTAGCAAAAGAAAGTGTCCAAGCTTCAGGCACTACCCAGCAGGTCCTAGCAGAAAGGCAGGGCATTGCCTGCCTCATTCTTACTGTTTGTGTCTATAGCATAATACACTCTCCAACCTGGCTCTGCTAGAATGAAAGTAATTTCAAAGACTTACAACTCCCAAACACTTCACTCAAAAGGGAGAAGATGTAGATAACCAGCATCAAGTTGTGACAATAAAGTGTATTAAACAGCTTTTGTTTTTCCCCTGTATCCTGGGGTTCATTCCTTTAATTACCATTATGGATTGGAACTCTTCAGATTTCAGCAGGGAAATGGATAACACTTCATTTCTACAACCCTTTCTACACCTACCTGACATTAATAATACATACAGATATGCTAATTTCTTTAATGTTACAGGGTTTCAATGCTGCACAATGCAACTCTCAGGAAATGAAAGGAGGGAAGGTAAGCTGTTGCCACAAGTGGAAGTTTATCATGATTAAAGATCTATAAACCATAATTTAAGTAAACCAGTAGATTTTATATGCAAAATACCATAAAGTACTTTTCCATAATATTATGGTTGAGGATAAGAATGAGCACTTATCTCATGATTTATTACTGTTTGACCAGAGTCTTAGGCTAACCACCAAACTTCACAAATAGAGTAAGTGGATTGATAGCTCTACTCCCTGACACTAAACACTCCCCTACACTGTCCTTCCTAGATATTGCTCATTTACTATTTACCATGATGAGGCTTTACACAGGTCATTGTGCTTTGACCTTAAAACCATTCCTTGTACTAGATGTCACCTTCTCTATTTAAAGTTGTAAAACAGAAGCACAGAAAATGATGTAATGTAACAAGGGTCACATGATAAGTGAACAGCAAAAGACTCAGTCTAGGGTTTAAATATATAATACCTTAAAGTATAAGTTAAAATATCATATTAAAAAAATATTGAGTGTAGGGGAAAATAAGAGGAAATATATGTGCAAAGAAGGGGGAACTCTCCTACTCCTTATGGAATTGTTGTCCTATTTATAGAGGAATCTTCACATGCCAGGCCATGTGTGTTTTATCTATCTTCTTTCTATTTCTCCTATTAACCTTTAGGTAGGCATTATCATGTCTCAATGGAGAAATGAAAGCTTAGAAAGCCTTGGTTGTTTTTAAAGATCAGCCAGTTAGAAAGGGCAGAGCGAAGAGCAGGTCTCTTGAATCTAAAAGTTATCTGTTAACCACTGTATCAGTTTGTCTCCTAACAAACTCCATGAAAAAAATAAAATGAGCACTAAAGTCGGATGAAACCAGGCAAGAAGCATTTCTCTGCCCAGTGGAAGAGGAGCGCTGAGTTAATGATGTCAGGGTGGGGTTTGTTCCTGAGACAGTGACACGGCAGAGCAGTTCTCACAAACAAAAATACAAGGCCCTCAGCTGAGCATTTCAGAGAGAGCTTAAATGCTGATGAATTATATGAATTTTTCTTTTAGAAGAGGATAGAAGTAACAAGAAAATAGAAATGAGGAGCTTAAAGAAGGCCAGAAAGCCCATTAGCACTTTTGACAGATCCAAAGATAACTCTGAAGCCACCAAAACGTGGCCTCAAGAGTCTGCCAAGAAGCTTCACGCTGAGGAGAAATATGTTACACAGCTTGCCGTCCAAATAGGGAGACACAGCGTCAGAGACAAATCCTGTGCCTTATTTTGGTGGGAGGAAAAAAAAATCACAAGGATACTTTTGTGGATGGGGAAGGGTGTGTTTTTGAAATAAAACACTACTCGACTGAGGCAGGCCCCCATTCCCAGTCAAGATTGGAGGGACTCAGGTACTTGGTACAAAACTCTACACAGGTATGTTAAAAATATGTAACATTTAGCCAAATTCTTTCTAAACTGTCATATACTTTTTTTGGTATTTCTCATCCCATCTGTGCTGATCACCAAGATATTTGTGTCTAAACAGAAGCTGTCTCTCTTATCTGCTTCCTCCCCTGCCTCTTTCCTTCTGGGATGCCACCCGCCAGGGTGGGAGGGAGTGCCAACGGCCCCAACCCAGGAACTTCTTGGACAGGGGAGCACTTGCAGGGCAGAGGGGGTCCTGGCTCACTCTTAGTTTCCGCCAAGCTTGGGCTCAGAGGAAGCCCCTTGGAGACAGGGATCTCCCTCTTGCTGTTAAGTGCCCAATAGCTTGAGCTCCATGGTAAACCTCAATTTCTCAGACTTGCCCTGTAATTTCCGACCCATCTGGCCTTTACTTCCTCTCAGAATACTCTTCTCTGTTCTAAACATGTTCATTTATTTGAGGAGATCAGCCCTGTGTCACCTCCTCCTAGAAGGGTTCCTGGACTCCTCTGCTAAATGCTCCTTTGTGTTTCCGTGGAAATTTGTCCCTACCTTATAGTAACTCAGATTTAAGTATGTTTTTCTACAAGGATGAGTACCTTTGGATAAATTACAAAGCCTAGCATCTAGCAGTTTGTTGAAAGAATGAATCCATACGTGGAGAAAACAAATAGTTGAAGACAACCTGTCCTTTGGCTCTGGTGTGAGCAGGGCACAGGAGAGTGGTCTAGCAGAGACAGTATGGTATATTAGGAAGAAAAAGGCACCTGACAGAAACTCATGCTGAGTCAGATAAGGTGACCAGTTACTCGGTGCCAGTGAAAATCCCACAGAAAAGAAGGCAGGATCACATTTGGGTTTCAAAAAGAGTTCCTTGAGGCTGGAGAGACAGTTAAAGAGCACTGGCTACTCTTCCATAGGACCTGCAATTCCCAGCATCCACATGGCAGCTCACAAATTTCTGTAACTCCAGTTATAGAGGATATGACACCCTCTTCTGGCCTCTGTGGACACCATGAACATATGTGATGCACAGACATACATACACGCAAAACACTTACACACATAAAAACAAAACTTAAAAAAAAAAACCCTCAAAGCCTATGGCAGCAGGAAAAAAAGAAGGTACATGGGAGGTTCCTATCAACCACTTACCTGCCACACTCCAGGGGCAAAGAATCCAAATGTGTAAATAGTTCAAAAGAAAGCTTTAGGTATACATGTTAAAAAACAAAAAACAAAACAAAAACAAAACTCTTAACCACAGGACTTGACAAAGAATTAGATTTGGAGGAAGAAAGTCTCTTTGGCTCTATGGCCTCCATGGTTTCAAGGCTCTGTGCATAACACCTTCTGTTTGTCCAAACATTTCAGTGTCTATTTGTTTGAATGCCAACCCTTCTTCTAAATAACCACCATTCCTGTTGAACATGGCATTTCTGCTTCCTGTTCCTCAGCATGAAACCTTGGACCATTGCAACCCCATCACAGGTAAGCCTGGGCACCTGTCCCCTTCATCCACTGTCAGTTACTACCATGTAATACTCCTGACAGGAAAAGAGGACCTTGCTTGGAGGACTGTTTCCTGGGCTCTGTACTCTGGTTTTGGTTTTTTTTAATGTCAGTGTGTTGCTAGGCTTGAGGAAATGCCTTTCTTTGCTTGGACTTTATTATACACTGTTCCCCTCTCCCATCCCCTGTATGGCCGGACAGCAGGGATATGAAGGTGCCAGTCTGACCAGAATTTAGATCTAAGGGGGACTCCAGAGAGTATAGCATAGAAGGTGAATTTCTCAGAGGTATGTGCTGCATCAAGTCCTTGAACCCTTAGCTTCTATTTCTTATCTGTACAAAAAGACACTGGCAAAGGTCTCAATCCAGACAAAGAGGGGAGCAACACCTGGCAAACCCCATGCCCCTGAGGAGTTCTTCCCAAGAGCTGTTCCTTCCTTGCTGTCTATTGGCTCTAGCAGCAGCCTAGGTGGCTGGGGGCTTCACACTCACTGTGATCCATGCCTGAGGTTATGAAGCAGGTGGAGGTCGGGGTGGGGTTGGAACTAGCTGGGCCCAGGAGGGGATATCGTGTGGCTTAGAGAGAAAGCGTCTTAGGTTCAATACCATAGGGAAATGAGATAATCCTCAAACCAAAGAACCGACTCTAAGCTGGGTACTCCTTGGAGCCTTCAAAGCAGATGTTAGTCTGCCCCAGTCTGTCATTTGATTAGTCTCTGAGACTCCATCGCGGAACAGGAATAAAGACTCGCTGCATCCGCTCTAGAGCTCTAGAGGCTGATTCCTGGGCCAGAGGCTTGGTTCTGTAAACAGGTCTCAATTCCTAAAATAACACTTGCTTAAATATTTTACAATATGACTTTTTTCTTTAAAGAGAGACAAGGGTCTTGCTACACTGTCCAAACTGGTCCCCAGATCTTAAGCTTCAGGCTTCCTCTCAAATGAGTGTTCTGAGTAGCTGAGAGTACAGGTATGCTCTGTCACTAGGTTTAACTTTTACAATATGAAAACAGCTTAAGCCTTTAAGTGATTAAAAACATATTCAAGTTATCGTAGTGGCACCAGATACTTAAAAGGGAATTACAAATTTGGGGAGCTTAAAATAATCTGCCCAAGAAAAAATCCGCAAACTCATTTGAACAGTCAAGAGAGAGAAGTGTATTACAGAACAGAAAGCAGAGTCACCCGAGGTCAGCTTTATCCTCTGTGCAAAGGAA